AACAATAGTCCTATCCTGTGCCATATTCATCATCCCTAACACATTTGAGACCATTGCCACAGACACTGTATTAATCCATCCTGTTGAGAGTCTTCTCTTTTGTTGACTCTCAACCTTTCCAAGCATAATGCCCTTTCCAAGGAAAAGCTTCTCCCCAGGCAGAAGTTCAAGTTGGGTTTAGAAGAGGTAATGGAACCAAGGGATATCATTGCAGATGTCAGATGGATCCTGCCTAAAAGCAGAGAATACCAGAAGACTCTATTTCTGTTTTTATTGACTATGAGAAGGTGTTTGACTGCAGATCACAACAAACTATGATTAACACCAAGAACAGGAATCCCAGAATTCTTAACTGTGCTCATAAGAAATCTATAACTAGACCAAGAAGCTGTTGTCCTAAAGAAACAAGGGAATACAGCATGGTTTAAAATCAAGAAAGCTTGTGTCAGGGATGTATCTTTTCTCCATACCTATTTAATCTGTATGTTGAGCAAATAATTTGTGAAGCCAGACTCTGTGAACAAGAATGTGGCATAAGGATCAGAGGAAGACTCATCAACAACCTGTTATAGAGATGACACAACCTTGCTTGGGGAGAGTGAGGGAGACCTGAAAAGCTTGCGACAGAGGATCAAAAACAACAAATGCTGGTGAAGTTGCAGAGAAACTGGAACCTTTACTTACTGTTGGTGGGAGTGTAACATGGTGCAACCACTATGGAAGGCTGTATGGCACTCTCTCAAGAAGTTGCAAATAGAAATACCATTTGACCCAGAAATTCCACTTCTGGGAATTTACCCTAAAAAAACCATAAGCACCACCCAAGCAGATATATGCACACCCATGTTTATTGCTGCTTTGTTTGCAGTAGCAAAGAGCTGAAAACAACCAACTGCTCATCAACAAACAAATGGATAGAGAAACTCTGGTATATTCACACAATGGAATACTATGCAGCATTGAAAAACAAGGAACTCATGAAATATTATGCAAAGTGGATGACCCTAGAGGACATTATGATGAGTGAAATATCTCACTCACAAAAGGACAAATATTTCATAGGGCCACTATTGTAAAACAGGACTGACATTGGAGTTGAGGGAAGACAGAGAAGGAGGGGAGAAATGATGTATATTGCATTGAAACAGATGGGCGAGAAAACTGTTTGAAAGAGATACATAATTGAGGATTATTGTCATGACAGGAGTCCACAAGGAGGGCTGCACAGTGCAGTGAACTTGGGGGAGAGATTGCATAACATTGAAAGAGTTTTTCTGTTACTTTTCAAAGAGAAGAGTGACTGGAGGGAGGGGTGGGCAGGAAGAAAAGTGCAACAATGAATGACTGAAAACCCTAAGTCTCTGTAAACTTTCATTTAAAAAAAAACAAACCTAACACCTTCAATATAAATTATATCTAACATCAAGAAAAGAAAAGTTCCCTACCACTGAGGCAGCAGGCAACATCATGACAGAAAAAAAGGATTGAAACTTTCAGCCACAACAATCAACATCCTTGGTACCAGCTGTCAGGAGATCAGGAGATGTATTGCTTTGGGCTAGGCCACTGTCAAGGACATATCTAAAATACTGAAGAGCCAGGATGTCAGTTTGAAGACTAAGGTGAGCCTAATTCGGGCCATACCCTTTTCGATTACTTGCTATGCTTCTGAGGCCAGACAACGAATAAGGATAACAATAGAATTGATATCTTTGAACCATGGTGCTGGAAAGAGCACTGAATAACCCATGAACTGCCAAAAGCATAATCAGATGTGTCATGAAAAAGGTGCAACCGGAGTGTTCCTTGAAAGCAAGGGTGGCAAAGTTTCACCTCTCATACATTGGACACATTACTAGAAGAGGTAATGCCTTGGAAAACGTTAACATGCTTGGAAAGGTGGAGGGTCTATGAAAGAGAGGAAGACTCCCAATGAAGTGGATTGGCATGGTGACTGCACCAATGGGTTCAAATGTATCAGAGATGACAAGGATGGCACAGTATAGGACAGAACTCAGATTTGTTGTTCATAGGGTTGCTATGAGTTGTAGTCAACTCAACGGCATCTAACTACAACACCATATCCAAAGTATATGAGATGAAGCTTCACCATCCTTGCCTCTAAGATCTATCTGTTCTTCTGGCAGTCCATGGAATATTCAGCACTTTTCTCCAACATCACAACTCAAGTGCATCAATTCTTCTTCTGCAGTTTTTATTCATTAGAATACTCTTTTTTTTTTTTTAAATTTAGGTTGTTTATTTTTCATTTCAGTGAACATCTACAGAGATTTTGGGATTCCATTCATTCATTGTTGCACCCTTCTCCCCGCACAAACCCCTCCCGCTCCCCCCCCATTTGCTCCTCTCCTTGAAAAGCAAAAGAAAAACTCCCTCATTGGTACACAATCCCCCCCCGCACCTCCCCAAACCCCACCCCCTAGCCCCAAATATAATCCACTCTACAACCCTCATTGCATACTCCTACGATAAAAATAATGCCCTAAAATATAATACTTTTAGACTATTCTCTCCCCCATAGACTTCAATGCCGTAAACATATTTCATCCAGTTTTTCTCAGTCCCACCCCCACCCCAATGCCAGCCTCAGGTATCTCAGTCACAAAGGGACAAATGCTATATGGTGCCACTGTTGTAGAACACTCTTTTTATGAACAAACCTTCAAAATTGCTCTGGGCCTCTATCTAAGTAGATAAATTAAAGATTTAACTCTCATCCTATCCCCTTGAGCTCTATGTCTGATCCTCTTTTCAAGGACATCATTGCTTTTTGATTGGTTATGTTTCTATATCATAGGCCTTTCTCTTGAACTTATAATTTCAATGAGTACTCAAACATGTTCTAATATTGATCATTCAAACACAAAACTCACTAACAGTGGTGAAATAATTCCAATATTTCATTGTTAGGTGCCTTTGAGTTAATACAACTCATAGAGACCCTATGAATAAAAGATCTGAACCCTGCTCTATCCTGCACAATCCTCACACTTCCTGACACGTAAGAGCCCATTGCCTCAGTCATCATGATGAATGTCACTCATGGCACTGAACTGTACATGAGAAAATTATTGAAATGGCAAATGACTTGTTATATTTCAATTTTTAGCATAAGAAGCAACTAAATAAAAAGCAAAACCCATAATCCTTCCAATTCCAATCCTTCAGCTTCTGAATTACTGGGGTTTTTTAAATGAAATCTTCAACAACAATAATATCTACTAAAAACTTGAACTATGAGAGACTCTAAATTTATGGCTGAACCAATTTGCAATGTAGACTATACACTAACTTGCATTCTGAGGGAATTATATTTACTAAATTGAGTTGTATCATTTTTTTAAATTGCTATATTTTTTTACTCCCCATGATAATTGTACAAAACAGACACAATGTTAAAAGAGTTGTCTTTGTGAATATTCATAAGAGAAATTTTATCCAGGATTCAGCATCATCAAACACACTTCTCCTAAATAAATAATTGTATCTTTTTAATAAACATTCTTAAAGAAATGAATTAAAATTATTTCCTTTTTTCGTGTGTTTCATTTTCCTGGTTTCATTTCTTTAAGCCCCTAACACCTTATCTATTGTATACTTTCCATTTATGTATTAATATTATTCTTAGCTGTATCATTTGTTACTTTTATTTTCTCTGTTTCATTTATTTCTTTTCTTCTGTCATTATTTTGGTAAGTTTTATAAACTACATAAAATCTTTTGAAGAACAAATGGAACAAGGAAAGAGAAAAATGTATATGAGCACAGAGATAAAGACAAAAATAGAAGACAAAAAAAAACCTATGAGAACTGGGCAAGAGGTAGTGGAGAGGGGACAAATTACTATGGGGATTTGAAACTCAAAGGGGAACAAGAGTAATGTATACATATTTAGAAATCAGTATATTTCTTCTGAAATTCTGGGGTTGAGTCAGAGATTGTGATGTTGACACAGGATAGGACAAGATTCAGATCTATTGTTCTTAGGGTCAACTTGAAACCTAACAACAACAACAACAAAGTGAACACAGGAAGCTGTGGTGGCCTAGTCTGTAGGAAACTGCAATTAAACTCCAAAGACTAAGCCTCTAATGTCCAAATCCACTAGTCAATCCAAAGGAAAAGATGGCTAATCTCCTCCTCTGTGGTTTACAGTCTCAGAAATACAGTGGAGAGTCTGCTCTGAGTCTGTTTCAACTAGATGGCAACAATATCGTTTACAACATTTATTACAAAAATACTTAATCTCATAAATTTTACTTGTTTCATCACTTTCCATTCAGGATTGTGCTAAACACTCAGAAATTTTCATAGGACAAATAATTGTCTCTGGATAACTCTGTTTGAACTATGTCATTTCCCCCCCAAATTCAAATGATAAACTGCAATTACACTGAAGCATCGTTCTACTTTAATGAAAATGAAAAGCAGTTCAGGTCTCTAGAAAATGTAGCTTGAAACCTCAGACAACATGAGCAGTATTCACTGTCCTCTTACCTGCTCTGACTGGCCTTCACCAACGCTAAAGTAAACTAAAATGGCCAGATTGCACATTTGATGCAATGATGCAAATCTTGGTTGAACATGAAGGAAGTTTTAAAAAGGGATGGTTCTGATATAAAAACATAGATAATAGACACAAAATCTGCACATTAAAGAAAAAGAGAGAGTACACCTCCCAAATATTTTCATCTCTATTGTTTAAGCTATAAATAAAATGGGAGGGGGAGAAAAAAAAAGAAATACAAGAGAGATGTCCATTATTTTTTAAAAAAGAGAAATGGCTATGTGGAACCCATAGGAAATTACAGCCAAGACCTAAGAGCAACTCCATGTGACTTACTAAGTATTTGATTCGTTAACAATGGTAGCAACATCTAGATCTTTCCATATGTAGAATTTTTCTAACAATCCAGTTGTCTGGAATTTAGTCCTCAATAAAAAAACACCAAAAGCAACAACAACATGGTCTTACTTACGAGAGGTTTTTGAAGCAAGAAGAGTGACCCGGGAGCCTCCTAAGAAGCAAAAACCCATTACATTCACTTGGTCATCATCTGACTGATTAGCAAAGCCTATAAAGGAAAAAAAATAATATTCACCTTATATAACATTAAATATTTGAAATAAGAGGTTTGGTTGAATGAGAAGTGCAGGGGGTTTTTCCTTTATCACTAATCATGACAAAAGCACATGTACATGGTAAGGAGTTGCACTATCAACACAAAGGCACATGGTTCGACGCCCCCAGCTGCTCCACACAAAAATTATGAGTGGTCTCCTCCTATGCAATTTACAGTCTCTGAAAACCCAATGGAAGATTAGATATAAAAGTCAGTCACAACTCAAAGGTACAGTGCAGCAACAATATGTATAATATGTTAAATTTATTTCCTCAGCAGTTCCAAATTACTGCACTGTTAAAAGTGTTGGAATTATATGTACTTTGTTACATTAAGTATTTACAATTTAGGGGGGGGCATGCCTGTTTTGAACTGCATTAAAATGAAGGGGGGAAACTCTCAGTTCACAATTTTTGGAATGTCGTTAAAGTAGTGTTTTAGATAAAATTCACAACATGAATCAATTATATTACAAATAAAAAAAGCTCTCAACTCTCACCTCAAGAAGCCAGATGGGGAAAGAAAATGAAACCTAAAATAAGTAAAGAAAGTCACAGAACTAGGAGTTGAGGGGGAGGATTGTTTTCTCAATATAAAAAAAAAATCAATGAAACCAAAAGCTGCTTCACTGGAAAGTTAAATGAAATGGATGATAACATGGGATTATATTTGTGAGCATGCAAAGGTGATTCTCTAGGCAATTATCTTTGTGTGTTGCACATATATTCATAAGTAAAACCAAAAGTGTGGGAGTTCATTATGGATACTGTCTGGACATAACACGGAACCTCACAGGACTGGGCTACTGAGGGTGAAGATTTAGGAACATGAGCCTCAGGGGTCAGCTTCATCAATGCCACAATATAGCTCAAAAAGACAAGGTTCTGAACTCTAAAGCTGGTAACTATTTTTTGAAGCCTGATAAGCTTGTGGTCCTCAAAGCTTGTGGTCTCCATAAGTAGAGAGCAAAAGAAAAAGAAAAGGAAAAAAAAAACCCTGAAGATTTAAAGATTAAATTAGTTAAGATTAATACAATTTATGAGCCATGACCTCACATACATTGAGACCAGAACTACACAGTGACTAGCTAATACTTCCAATGTTCTAACCACAGACACAGAAGATGGTCCCCAGTAGATACAATGGGAGAATACCTAACTCTCCATGGAGTTTTCTGAGGCTGTAAATCCAAAGGAGGAGATTGCCCGTTTTTTCCTACAGAACAGCTGATAGATTTGAAGCTGTCAACTTAAGTTAGCAGCAGGGCTCTCTATAGATGGTCAGAGTCAGGTTCAAATACTAGACAATGAGTTGATAAGGTAAGAACAATTCAGAAATGAGGGTCAGAATGATTGTACAACTTAAAGAATGTAGTCAGTGTCATACATTTACAACTGTAGAAACTGTTAAATTTGTAAATGGTTCTATGTTTATACTATTAACAAGAAAATAAAGAAAAATTTTAAAAATAATTGGGAGGGGAAAGTATGTGAACAATTTAGGGATAATCAGAAAAAATATTTGTAAAACGTAAACCCTAAAAACGACATAACTGAAATATATACACCGTAAATAAATGAAAGCCCCTGTTTTCTCTGTGAGAAACTAAAGAAGAACAAGTGACACCTTGTTCAATATTGCTTTTGATGTCATCTCTCTCCCAAATTGATGTATGAAATCAGTGCAAACCATATTAAAAATCTCCCTGGGTTTCTTTATTTATGTTGATGTGAAGATTTATAGGAAAATTTAAAAAACCTACAATGTCCATCACAACTTCTAAAAAGCTAATAAAGTCAGAAAACTTTAACTACCTGACACAAAGATTTTCAGTAAATAAAAAGAGCAGAAATAGATTGACATAAACATGATTTTTTTTTTTTTACAAAGCCGCAAAGACAATAGAGTAGGAAAGAATAATCTTTCCAATAAATAGTGCAGGTGCAATTAGATACCTATCTGCAAAACCATTAATTTTATTCATATCTTACACAACATACAAGTATCAACTTAAAATTACTAACAGACTCAAATGTAAAACATAACACTAGAAAATTCCTAGGGAAAGAACTGAAGAAAGCTTTAGAATCTTGCTTTAGGTAAATATTTCTTAGATAAGAACACTCAAAGGATGATCCATAAAAAAAGAAAATTGATAAATCAGACTTCATCAAAATTGAGAATTCTACTCTTCCAAAGACAATACAAAGAAAATGAAAAAGTATGTCACATACAGGAAGAATATATTTGTAGCTCACACATGATAAAGTAGTTGATTTCAGACAAAAGGGAGCATATATTGCACAATTTGAATTTATAAAAATTCCAGAAAATACAAACTAACATGTATTGACAGAAAGTGAATTAGTAGTTGTCTGGGAAATAATGCAATTTATTATAAAAGGGCACAAGGGAATTTTCAGAAATGATGCCTATAGTAAGAATCTTGATTAAGTGACTGTTTCACATGTACATACAAATATTAAAGCTCACCAAATTGTACATTTTGAACATGTCATTTATTAAATATCATTTTTATCTGTAAATTGTACTTTAATAGAGTTGTTTTAAAAAATAAAAAATGCACAATAAAGTTGATTTGAAAAGTAAAATAATATTTTTTAATTATAGAAGAAAATGGAACTATTTTACAGTCATGAGATTAAAAAGATAGTTCTAAGCATAGCATAAAAATATTAAACTAAATTAAAAGCAATCTGAACATTTTGCTACATAAAACTGTAATCCTTACATGCTAAAACATGAAAAGTAAATAATAAAGGTTTTAAAAGCCTATAATAAAAAGTAATTTAGATATGCAAAGAAAAATATATAATTTTTTACCTAGTAATGTAAAAAAAAATTGAGGTTTTTACAGTCTATTTTTTTTTTTACCTAACAATGTAAAAAAAAAATTTAACATTTTATGAACCCTGATGTTTGGTGTACAAACCAGTGCAATTCTTCTCAAAGAGAATTTCATATTTGAATCAAGTTTACAAATTGTATATGCACTTTAACTCAGGTATTTGTCTGCAAATTATATTTTTTAATTTACTATTGAGTCCCATCTCTATAATGGACAATAATCAAATACATACAGATAAGCATAAGATACTTATGATATCAAAACATTTGAGCCTAAAATCAGGAGAAAAATGGATTTATCATCTCAGCTTTTAGTAACACATCCTGTCCAGTGTGTATCTTCCAAAGATTACCTGTTTGATCAAAGGTATTTTTAAGTCAATCCATAATTGAGCTTCACTCATCTTGACAAAGATCAACTCCTTCTGAAACAAGGTGCTACAATATTTTTCAAAAGCATAAATAAATTCAGTGTTCAAGGTGTAATTCCCAACTCTAATCCCAAGGTAGTACAGAAGACCCCGGAAATGAAATAAGCTTGTGGATAATATTAAAAGACAATATCCCTTCCTGCCTTTTCTATATTTCCAATTTTTCATAAGGAAATTTGAGGAAGAAACAAAAAAGAATTTATGTGAGAGAAGGAAATGAATGGAAAGGAAGAAAAGGGAAGAAAGAAAGAAATTTAAAAGTACAAAAATTATTTGCTCATAATATATGCATATATGTAAGTTGAAAACAAACTAAAGAATGTGGGGGAAATGTAACAAAGACATTTCCATTTCTGAGGTTTTTTTAAAAAAGTTATATATAAATAAACTTCTTAAACACTTTAATGAAAACTCAATGTTAAGCAGTTTAAGTAGTTAATAACATAAAAGTTGACTTACCATAAATTTCTAAACCTTGTGGGAAATATTCTTTGTATTCTAAATCCTATCTACTAATGCAAGGGTAGGGATGCATGCCATAACCAAGTGCTGATTTTTAATAAAGGATTTGAAAAGGCTAATTTAATCCTCAGATTTTTTTTTTTTAATTGCACCTATCACCAAGAAATTTAACAAAGCCAACACATTAGAAACCTTGGCTACTTAAGCTGTTTCATCCAATGAAAGTGTCATTCTTTTTCAAAGTACTCAGAAGAAAAACTCACACCAGGACAAAGTCACACTTTTAAAGTTTCCCCAAATGTTCAACATGATAGTCTAGTCTTAAATATGAAGCACTTCTAAACAATCAGTGTCAAAGGATGACTTTGGCCAACTCCCACTGCTCCAAATAACAGAGCCACAAAAAGCTATCTACTTATGAGATTACTCATCGGCAGTATAAAACTATACTTTAAAAACGTACATATCCAAACACTTCTATATTCTATACACTTTGAAGGAGGGATATAGTAAAAAACAAAAACAAAAACAAAAAACCTACATAAAAAGTGAATAATAAATATTTACATTCCAAGTTTAAAAAGTCATAGTCTAAAACAGAAACATTTGATGTTTTCATTCCTGAATACTGAAGCAAAACTATTATACTAATTTTAATCAAACTTAAAAGGTATACCTTATTACCTTGTTGATATAAGCTATTCGCCTTTGAACAGGCAAACAAGAGGAGAAAATCCTTGAGGCATTTTCATATTCTTACTTAACAATTATCTGATAATTACCCCATCATTACCTGCTGATGAAGGATACCATTCTAAATTCCTAACATTTCTGATGCTACAGGCATGTTACTTCAAAAACTATACCTGGGAACAGACTGAGAAGGCTGACTGGAGGTTTGTTGGTATCAATAGTTAGTTTGTGGCTTGCACTTTTTGAAGGTTGACCTGGTGAGCAAATTAATTTCAGGGGAAGTCTAAATTTACATTGGATGATTCGAGGAACACCTGAAAAAAAAAAAGACAGAAAAATGCTGACTCAAAGACTTGATAAATATTAATCATTTGACAAAAAAAAAACCCACTAGACAACTTATACATTAGATAGCAACATATTAGTTTAAAAGACTGTTCCCCATCCATGTCATTTATTGGAACTGAAATAACTGTGACATAAAGGGGAAAAAAAATCTTAAAAAGCACCGAGGCAAGATATCTGCTTAATGTTGATATCATATTTTAAGTAAACACATTGGGACTCTATATACAAATTTATAGTTACCTTCAATTATTTAACGGTCCTTAAACTAAGATCTTCAAAGCCCTAACCTTTGAATATCTTTGGCAAAGAGCAAAGAGTAAGAAGTTTAGAATTCACTCTTACCACATGTAATAATTTCTCCCTCCTAAACTATTTTAAGTCTTCAGCTTTTTTATTTATTCCAGATTCAAATGATATGATTTTCCAAGCAAATGGCAACCAGAAAAAAGCAGGAGTAGCCATATTAATCTCTGATAAAATAAATATCAATGTAAAAACCATCACGGAAGATAAGGAAGGTC